GAGAAGCTAGCTAGGGTTTTGGGTAGAGCTTTAAATAGAGTGGGGATGAAAGAAACTGGCTCAGTGATGCAGTAACCTATTATTGTGATGTGTGTGCCCATACTTTTATTCAGCTTTTTTTTTCTTTAGACAAGACACGTATACACACCTTTACGTACATACATATACGATCCAATGTATGTTTATACTACTGTGTATGTGTGTGTATACTGAGGTATAACTGTATAAGGTGAGTGTGGTCCTTAAAGAACAATATTGCTAGATGAATATACGACTACACTTAAGAGGCTTGTTGCCCAAACTGTGATCTTTCACATATGGAAGGAGAGAAAAAATAGGCTTCACAACTCCATCTCGACTCCTCAGGCGATCATCTTCAACCAAGTGGACCGCAATATTAGCGACTTGCTCGGATTCACCGGAAATCCTTCTGAAACTTGTTCTCTCTTTGGTTCACATATGAGTAGTCGCATTCATAGTTAGATTATATAATCTTTCACCTGGGTTCTCTTAGGCTTTTTTATTTATTTTTTGGATCTTTTTGAATTTATTGTTTTGTCGAGCATATTGTAACAAACATTTTCCAGCTTTTGGTATATAAAATTCACATTTTATCAAAAAAAAAAAAATATGAATTTCGAGGTATCACATTCATTCATTATATAGTCCAATGGTTGATCTAAGTATCACTTCATGTGATATCTAATTCGCGTAAGACCTTTTTCGCAATTTTGAGTCGAATTTTTAGACTAATCCTCATATCTATCTTTGAAAATACTCAAGTGGTTATCTTGCAATCCATTTGGTCAAAATTTTATATTGATCTTTAAAGATTTTGCTAAAGATATATCGCGGTCACTTAGAAAGTATCCAGTAAAATTCGAGACCAAAAATGACTTAATATAGAATATCTCAAGCTTGAATGATTTGCAAAACATTGGAATCTAACTTATTAGGTGAACGATATGAAAATCAAACGTAAAGTGATATGAATCAATCACATGTATTGTATGTGTCTCTCTCTCACTCTCTCACTTTATTTTTTGATGAGACCAAGCATAAGGAGGACAAGCTTGAAGTAATCTTCACGAAACGCGAGTCTAATGAAGTTGAGCTTGAAGTTGTTCCATGGAGGATATCGGGCTTCAAGATCCATTGCTAAGCTTCCTTCCATTATTGCCTTGTCGTGACTGAAACACTCGAATGAGTATTTACCATGATACCTTCCTATTCCACTCTCTCCCACTCCTCCAAAGGGCAACGCATCACACATATACTACAATTTCATTCAACATTCATCAATATGAGAAGATTTTCACAGTTACAATCAACTATATTAATGCCGGATATGTACTCTTGCCATTAAAAACGTTTAACCATGATTGAAATTGCAATGGAAAAAAAGTCAAACCATATATAGTAGTCTCTCAACGTTGGGATGAATAATTTCAATCACTAGACTACAATGAGTTGGTTATCGAAATCTTAAAATTCTTATCTTTGATAAATGAATAATTCTTCAAATTTTTTGAATCTAACAATGGATTCTGTTTTATATATATATACCTGGATCATGACGTCGTTGAAGGTAACACTTCCTGAGGATGTTTCTGACAAGATTCTAGTTTTAAGGTTTTCGTCATTGGTGAATGCATAAATGGCAAGGGGCTTTGGTTTTGACTTGATGAATCCTATGCTTTCTTGGATGTCACGTAACTTCATTACATCAGAGGAAATACACAAAATTAACAACGATTAGTCAATCCTCTAGTAAGTAATCTTGAATGATTGTAGAAATTGAATATGCGTACCGTGATAATCGGGAGAATTGGACCAAATATTTCTTCATTCATGATCTCAGAATGAAGTGGAGGATCCAACAAGATCGTTGGTTCGATATACCTGTCAAACAAATTTAGGTTAAAGAACTTGTCGAACTGATTTCTTGCAATCCAAGAAACATAAATTAAACCAAAACATACAGTTTCTCTTCATCCATGGAACCTCCATAGACGATGGAAGCTTTGACACCAGGATCATTAAGAAGACGAGACAATCTCTCAAAGTGTTTCTTGGAGACAATCCTAGAGAGACATCCAGATTCTTTAGGGTTGTCCCCAAAGAAAGTCTTTATCACCGGCTTCAACATATCAACCTACAAAAAAACCACCAAACTTTTAGAGATTCTATAGAAACCGAATTTGCGTTTGTGTTTGCGTTGTGTATGTACACTTACCAGAGAAGACGCAAAACTCTGTTCGACAAGAATGTAATCTACGGCAATACAAGCTTGTCCACTGCAAGATCCCCATTTTCCTCCAGAGATCCTCTTCACTACCGACTTTATGTTCATCACACCAATAATTACAATTCAGAGTCTTTTTACGACAAAGATCTTCTGTTTCAATAAAATTTGGAGCTTAGAAAAACAGAGCAAATCGCAAACCTTCATGTCCTTTGAAACTGAGTGATGATCAACAATGGTTGGACATTTTCCACCAAGCTCCAATGTCACAGGAGTCAAATGCTCTGCAGCTGCAGCCAGTATGATCTTTCCAATCCTCGGACTCCCTAAAAAACAACAACAATTACTCGATTTCCGCTACATGAAAATCACTCCGTGTTTCGAAATGTGAATTGACTGATACATACCGGTAAAGAAGATCTTGTCCCATTGCTGTTTCAAGAGGATGGTTGCGACATCAGGACCTCCTTCGATAACTTTGATGGCTTTATTGTCGAGATAAGACGGGATTATCTTGGCGAGGAAGGCAGATGCGTTAGGGCTTAGTTCAGATGACTTGAGCAACACGGTATTTCCTGCTGATATTGCCCCAATCAATGGGTCCAGAGACAAAGCTGACCACAAACAGTAAAAACAAAAAAAAGCACAATTTTAACTCTTTCTTTCTGTTAGAAAACATTAAAAACTAGTTCAAGATCCGAATCTTACATATAGGAAAGTTCCAACTAGACAGAACAAGAACTGTTCCATAGGGTTCCGAGATCACTTTCCCTTTTGCTGGGTAGAACAACAGAGGAAGGCTGGTCTGTTTTATTGTCAGCACAAAGAAAACAATCATCCAAACAAACAACAAAATGATTAATATATCTTGCAATTTTTCTCGATAATCGGGTTCTCTTAAACCTAAATCCAGACTAATCTTTTAAACCGAAATCCAGACTAATCTTTCTAAAC